ACAGATGAGAGCAGGGTGTGTCAGTTTAATCTCTACACACCTCACAGGCTCTTGTCTGAAACAGTAACAAGTATACAGACTTAGTTATCCCAATCTATCATCTTATTTCGTCTTGTACTTAAATTCTCCAGAGTCATTAAGCTTTCATTCCAAGCGTGGCTCATGTATCTGCTGAAGTCAAACTCACTCCGTTCACTGCTGCTCCCCAACTAGGATGCAGCACAGAAGACAGAATGATGTCTTCTGTCTGGAGGGAAATTGTTGGTCCGAGAGTCAAGAGAAGTGGATCTCATCCGAGCTCTACCTTCTCAGTTATGTCTTTGGGCTTCAATTAGGTAACACCCAAGTTTCCTTTCTTCTCTTAATCTGCAGCCTTTATAAACCTAAAAGAATCGCACAAAAATACCTTCTGCTTATAGCACATTCCCGTGCCTAGCAAGTACGGTCAATGCACGTTCTCTTTGGTGTGCAACAATCCGATGAGGTAGAAAGAAAACAACACTATCCCGTGCTTTGAAATGAGGAAGCTGAGTTCAAAGGGCACTTGGTCTCTGCTAATGAAAAGTCTTTGTAAATAAAATCTAATAGACAAAAAACGTTCTATACTGTATAAGCAAAGTACTTTTAATAGAGACGAAGTTGGGTACAGAAGAAAGGAGACTATAGCAGGATAGAAGAGATCTACCTTTACATATCTGTTCAGCCTCTTCCTACTCAAAATAAAAGAACATACCACAGTCCCTCAGAACCTGAGTTTTCTCACCTATCTCACAGGGATTTCTAGGGAATTAACTATAATAATGACCTTAATTGTGCTTTGGAAACTGAAAAGAGTTGTATAGAGCTACTATTTGTTAGTAGACGAGGGTAAGTCAACAAGTTTGGCTACGAAGGCTTCCAGTTCATACCTGCCTGGGTTTATTCCAAACACAGTGGGTGAACAGGCTGGCTATGGACAAGTTCTTACAGCAATACACTTGTCCTAGTCTCCTTAGGGTGCCTTCAGAAAATAGGTCCAGTGAAAACAGGGGCTTCAATGGGTATTTGCTGGATCAGTAAAATTCAAGGCAGTGGGGGGCGGGTAGCTCCAGCAGTTATGGAACTGTGTTTTTGGTTTTGTTTTGTTTTGTTTTTTAGCATTCCAAAGAGATAACCTTGATAAGTGCCCCCGCACACACATACACACAGTACCATCACAGGGACTTATTAGTTCTATGATTTTTGTTTTTTTCATGGAAAACTGCACTGGTGAGAAAAAGGCTAAGAGAGTTACTCTGAGGATGTTTGTTCCATCATGACAACGCTCCTGCTCATTCTTCAAGGGTCGCAAGGGCTGCCCTATCAACATTTAGTTAGGAAACTCATCCCATTGACCCTAGAGTAGCGGTTCTCAATCTGTAGGTCGCGACCCCTTTGGGGGCAAACCCTTTCATAGGGGTCGTCTCATACAACCTGCATATCAGAGATTTACATTACAATTCATAACAGTAACAAAATTACAGTTATGAAGTAGCAGCGAAAATAATTTTATGGTTGAGGGTCACCACAACACAAGGAACTGTATTAACGGGTCTTGGCATTAGGAAGGTTGAGAACCACTGCTCTAGAGCCTGAACATTGTCCCTTCCACTTCTTTTCGTTCACCAAACTTAAAGAACATTTTAAAAGAACAGGATTTGACTCCCTCAAGGTGCCCAAACTGCCATGTGATATGCTGGCCATTAAAGGGTCAAGATTTCTTCAGGGAAGGGCTAGAGCGACGCAGACACTTCCTTCAGATGTGTACGGACCTAGGTGGAGGATGTATCAAAATAATGGCTTTACATTTTGATGTTTTTATTTAATAAGGGTTTTCTTGGCTTTTGTGGCAATGCTTTTAGACTTACCCTCATACACCTACCACCTCCTCAAGTTCACCCATCATAATCAAAGGGAATTCAACCCATAGACTGGGATATAAACTAGGCCAAGAATAGACCATTAGCAAGTCCTTTCATACAAAGAGTTAGCATGGATATAACATACAATGAAACAATTACAGTCTCCTCTCCGAGAAATTATTAACAAATATTAATATATTATGTTAACATGGCAATATATTTACATTCAAATAGTTATAATAGTTTTAAGTCACCTGAGTGGCATGGGATACAGTGTCAATGCCTTCATGTCTCAGCAGAGTATGTCTGGCCTTTGTCTGTTTCCTTAAGAACTTCTTCTCAGTCTTATTGAGCTTGGATTTACTTTGATTCTTGCTGTCCATAACAATGCTGTAAAATAAAAATAATTTAAAAAACAGGATAAAAAAATGTTGATCTCAATTATAATGATGCTACTTGTATAGTTGATAAGCAATGGTGTCATGAGTTTTTAAAAGCTTGGTTTTCCTTTCACCAAGACGTAACAACAAACAAGTGTCCTATCCTAAAGGGCATCTAAGAAGGAAACAAAGTGGTGCGGACACCAGTAGCATTTGCAGGCGGTCTAAGAAATCGCCCAATGCTTTTTAGTGAGCTACCCTCCCTGTGGGTGCTGAATTCCTCGACTTGCACATTCTGGGTAAAACATGGCAGCTCCACAAACATACACTTAGGATGAAATGATTAACATATGAAGAGGCTTCAACAAGTTCACAGAACAATAGAATGAAAAAGTAATGTATTTATCTTTTTTTCTTTTTGTATATACACACTCGGTCTGAGTCCATTTATGTAAGTCCAAAATCCACATTTTGTTTAGAAATAGATACACAAGGGGGTTTCCAAGAGTTCAGGGATAAATTCTGTTTTCTTTTCACTCAATTTTCCTACGAAATTTCTTAGACCCCCTTGTTATAGTTCTGAAAAACAGAAAAAATAGTGAGCAATGAAAGAATAGGTCACATCTCTGTTGTACAAATCTTTAACCCAGTGGGCTGCTCACTCTAAGGCTGAAGTCCACCTAGGGCACCTTGGGAGAAAGGTCTGCAGTAAACGTCCCCCAGCAACCGGGCAGCGGAATCCTTGTGGGGCACAAGCCAACTCCGACCAAGGTCAGGTTCCACGAGCCATCACCCAAAGCGTCTGGGTTTGTGGGTAAGTACCAAGTACACAGTCCTTGGGTGCGGCGTGACTGTGAGATCCAAAAAGAATAAACGGCGAAGCTCGAGAAGACTTCAAACTCGAGAGGACCTGGCCATAAACCGAAGGATAAGAAGAATATCGAGCTACCTGACGGTACGCAGTAAAGCTCGTGAGAGAAGCTACAAGCAGAGACCCGGGAAGAAGTGGGGAAGATGACCAAAGCAGAGTCCTGACTTGGGCCCTCCCCAACCACCGCCCTGGAAAGCCTTCAACTTCAATCAACTCAATGCAGAACATTAACTAGTCACATTCCGAAACACCTCACAAAAGACAGACAAAACTCATTACAAATGTCTGAGGGAAGAGGGCCTTTGGGAAGGACAGCCCAGAGTCCCGCCGGACTAGCACCCAGGGGCGCGAGAGGAGGCCCGGCCGGTAAAGGAGCCCATGGGAGAGATGCGCGGCAGGTGGAAATGCCAGCCTGGGCTTGGGTGGAAGCCACACGAAGAAGGTCAAGGAGGCTGGACTCAGGTGGAGTCGGTTGGCCTTGATGGCTTGCAGATGGGAAAAGAGGAACCAAAGGACTTGCAGGTGGGAGCCTGAGTCACTGCAGTCAGTGACGTCATTCCCAAATTGGAGCGTCCCGAAGAACTGCTCTGTCACGGAGAAGTGATGAGTCAGATTTCAGACATCATACCGATGAGGTTCTGGGGCGAGAAAGAGCAGCGACATCGAGCTAGCAGGTGACACTATGGGGCAGGGGGATGTCAAAAAGTCCATGTAAAAATGGAGTAAAGATATACTACAAATTGTCCATGAACTTTTTGAAGCTCCCTAGAATGTGAAGTGGCTCTCAGGAAAAAGAGAGACTGTGGCGAGACAGTTTTTGAAGTGGTACCCAGATAGACAAAGGATAGCCAGATG